TGACTGCTTAACCTTAGAGTTTACTGACGCTGGTAAATGTACAAATAACACTCCTCTAAATTTTCTACCTGTACGAAAGGAATCTTCTCCTGCTGAACGAGTCGCCATTTTCCATTATTTTCCAACTCATTTAGTTTTTCTTCGTAATTCTTCTTTTCCACGAGACTTATATTGAAGCACAAAACCCCTCCTGCAAAAAACACATCATGAGTTCAAAGTTGAAAGTTAATAAATACCTTTATTAAATTTTCAACGTTTTGATTGGTTCACTTAACTCCGGTTATCTCCTCATATTCTGAGTCACCTTATGCGGAAATGCATCGCGCCAACTGTTGCGGAGCTAAAAAAAAAAAAGGCTGCAAATATCTAAACGTTGAGGATTTCGTAAAAATCAATAAAACAATTATTTCATTAGCGCTTGTTTGATGCAAGACTGGTTTTAGCCAGCTCATATCCAACATATCCAACGCGCGTGCGTGGAATAATTTTTAAACATCGCGAGAGTTTTGGCTAGGATTGTTGACTAGAATTCTTCTAAATCTTTGTTTGTAAAAGATAATATCAAGTATGACAATTACGAAATCAAAAGGAAGAATTTAAGTTTAAATAGAATGATAATTCCACATTTTTAAGATCACTTGACCTTTCCAGGTCACGGAATAGTCGACACTGTACTAACAAACGCAGGAAAGAAACGAAAACTGAACGAAAGAGAAATATTCTCTATATCTCTCATACCTGGTTTGACAATTTTTACCATCTCCTCAAATGCACTGGGCCGGACATGCGAAGTGCATACCGCAGAGCTGCACGTCAATGCATCATACTCCGCGGTCTCGATACCATTTATCCGCTGATCAGTCATGGCGGCACAGATAAGTTTATTGTAGACATTTTTCATCATAGCTCTGTTAAGCATTTCTTGCTACATGTCAAGGGCATCAATATTGGTATATCCAAGTTTGTTTAATTCTAACCCCAACAGGCCTGTTCCAGCCGCCACGTCAAGAACTTTAAAACTTTTCTTGTCGACATCAGGAAACAGATTGCACACTGAAGTGTCGAAGTGCCTGGCAAATGGTCGAGGTATGTGGTAGTTGGGTTCTTGCATACTCTGATGGGGAATAAAAATGTTGTGTTGGTCAAACAGTGATTGTTGTTGTTGCTGTTGCTGCTGATATATAAGAGCCTAAAAAGTACTGCAGAGTTTTTTCAGATTGAGACCACCAAACTGGTGTCATGCATAAAACAAGCCTGAAAAAAAATTAAGGTTTCGACGGGATTCGAACCCATCCCGGATAATAGTTGGGCGCTTCTACCAACTGAGCTAAGAAGCTACACTTTGTGAGAACCTGAAAAAAGTAAGTAAGGCAAGGAAATTTCAAGTTAAAAGGAAGAAAAGGGAAATTCCTCTGGATATGTCTAATAGAAGAAACTTACTTGCATGACTCACTGATGAGGGCAATGAAAATTTATTTGTTCATTATATTTTAGTTGAGAAAATGTATGGGAAGGCTTTAAGAGGTACTGATCGTGCCGATTTGAAGGAAATGGGTGTTAAGACTATGGAAAGACGGTTTTTTACTACTCGAAGAAATAAAGGCCCTCCTTAGTTCAAATTCGAGCTTGAACTCTACAGGTTAAGTGAAATTGCCACGTGCATTTGTTGTTGTTATGTACTTTTACGGTTTTGCATTTCAGGGTCGCATGCTTATACAAAAGTTAACCCATTACACCCTAACATCAGCATGTACATTCTCCATTCTGTTCTCTCTACTTTTCCTAATAAAGTAGTAAGGAAAATTTGTATAATAATCAAGAGCTTCTTTAGTTGTTGACATTTCCTTAATTCCTGTGATCTTAATGTTTAAATATGGCAATGACTCTGTAGGGAGAAATTATATCCTAATCACTCTTAGAGGTCAAAGGGTTAATTCGAAGTGTAAGTACAAAAATGCAAAACCCTGCTCTAAGCAAAGATGAAAATGGTAATGGCCAGCAAAATGGTCTGCATGCAGTTTTTAATGTTTCGAAATTACTGTCTATCGACACCAAACTGTAATTTAAATGACGTTTTTTTTTGTGCCTAACCTTGCAAATTCATGAACCATGCAGTTGTCAAATTCTTCTGAGTTTCCCTTTAATCTTTTGTTGAATTTTCAATAGGCCATTTTCGAGTTACCTTTCACCTCTGTGTCGAAATGAGTCTTCGTGCGAAACCATTCATAAGAAAATGAGTTTCACCTGCACATCCATTTTCATGCAAATCAAACTCATTTCCGTTTGAATGGTTTCGCAAGAGGACTCGTTGCAACGAAATATGCTTGAAAGAATAGAGAATACTTAGAATAAGGTTTGAAAACCGTATCTCGTTATCTTTTGCGGGAGAGACAGTACACTTGAAAACAAAGAAAATAGCGCGCACAAATGAAAATATCGAGTTTGACTAATGGTCGTGGGTCGTGGGTAGAATTCGTGTTGGTAATAGTTAACAATTAATGGTTAATAGACTACTATTTCATTGATTCACTTACATATAAGTTATACATAATTAATTCATCTAATCTATGCCAAAAAATTTATACTGAACAATAA